TGTTATGACCAATTCCGCTAGCGAAATTGTTACGCTAGCGGACATGGAGTTAACGGAATAACGGCATTGGTTAGAAATTTTTATATTTGGTAATTAATTAGCAAAAAATTTGTTAAAAATTATCCGACTATTTTTTTTTTAATTCCGCGCATTTGCCCCGCTAGTGAAACGGACCCGTGTTTGTTGACATAACTGTACTGTAATATTTTCGGATGGTACTAGCTCTTACTGCCAATAGTAGTATATTTATGCCGGTTCCAGAACCGGCATAAGGTTTGCTGCTGCTCCGGTGGCTCAATCGGCGCAAGCTTTGCTGCTCCGCCAAAAGATGTCGCCGATCGAAATCTAAGTTCAGAACTCAGATAAAAGCCGCAAGATGTCGCTGATGATAAATCCACGTTCAGAACCGGAACCGATCACAGGTTGTACCTCTTCTTCTTCTTCTTATTTGGCGCTGTAACCGCCTAAGCGATTTTGGCCGAGTCCAAAACAGCACGCCAGTCATATCTCTTCTGTGCTAACTGACGCCAATTGAAAATGCCAAGTGAAGCCAAGTCCTTCTCCACCTGGTCTTTCCAACGCAGAGGAGGCCTTCCTCTTCCTCTGTTCCCAGCATCGCGGCCCGCGTTGAATATTTTCAGAGCAGGAGCGTTTCTGTCCATCCGAACGACATGGCCAAGCCAGCGGAGCCGCTGAACTTTAATTCGCTGCACTATGTCTATATCGTTGTAAAGCTCATACAGCTCATCGTTAAATCGTCTGCGATATTCGCCATCACCAACGCGTAAAGGTCCGTAAATCTTTCGCAGAATCTTTCTCTCGAAAACTCCAAGAGCCGCCTCATCAGATGCTTTCATTGTCCATGCTTCCGCGCCATACACCAGCACAGGCATGATGAGTGACTTATAGAGTGTGATCTTTGTACGACGAGAGAGGACTTTACTTCTCAATTGCCTACTCAGCCCAAAGTAGCACTTGTTGGCAAGAGTGATTCTCCGTTGGATTTCAAGACTGACATTATTATTGGTGTTAATGCTGGTTCCCAAATAAACGAAGTCGTCTACTTTTTCAAACTTGTAACTGTCAACAGTGACGTGGGTGCCAAGACGCGTATGCTCTGACTGTTTGTGTGCTGACAGGAGATACTTCGTTTTGTCCTCGTCCACCACCAAACCCATTCGCTTTGCTTCTCTATCCAATCCCGAGAAGGCAGAACAGACGTAGCCCTTGTTTTTACCGATAATATCGATGTCGTCGGCATACGCCAGCAATTGTACGCTCTTATAAAGTATTGTGCCTGAGCGGTTCAGTTCTGCGGCTCTTATTATCTTCTCCAACATAAGATTAAAGAAATCACACGAAAGGGGGTCCCCTTGTCTGAAACCTCGTTTGGTATCAAACGGCTCGGAGAGGTCCTTCCCTATTCTGACGGAGCTGGTGGTATTGCTCAACGTCATTTTACACAGCCGTATTAGTTTCGCGGGGATACCAAATTCAGACATCGCGACATAAAGGCAACTTCTCTTCGTGCTGTCGAAAGCGGCTTTGAAATCGACAAATAGATGGTGTGTGTCGATCCTATTCTCGCGGGTCTTTTCCAAGATTTGGCGTAGTGTGAATACCTGATCTATGGTGGATTTTCCAGGCCTAAAGCCACACTGATAAGGTCCAATCAGCTCGTTGACGGTGGGCTTCAGTCTTTCGCACAATACGCTCGATAAGACCTTGTAACCTATGCTTAGAAGGCTAATTCCGCGGTAGTTGGCGCGTATGGCGGGGTCGCCTTTCTTGTGGATTGGGCAGAGCACACTTAAATTCCAGTCGTCGGGCATGCGTTCATCTGACCATATTCTGCATACGAGCTGATGCATGCACCTCATCAGCTCCTCGCCGCCGTACTTGAATAGCTCGGCTGGCAGGCCGTCAGCTCCAGCAGCTTTGTTCTTTTTCAGCCGCGTAATCGCTATTCGTACCTCGTCATAGTCAGGCGGTGGGACAGCTACTCCATCATCATCGACTAGGGACTCGGGTTCGTCTTCCTCACTACTTTCAGCGCTGCTACCATTCAGTAGGTTATAAAAGTGTTCCCTCCACAATTTAAGTATATTCTGGACATCGGTCACTAGGTCGCCATTGTTGTTCTAACAGGAGTTCGCCCCGGTCTTGAAACCTTCCGTAAGTCGCCTAACCCTCTGGTAGAATTTTCGGGCGTTCTTCCTGTCGGCCAGCATCTCAAGCTCTTCGCACTCTCGTATTTCGGCCTCTCTCTTCTTATTGCGGCAAATACGTCTCGCTTCCTTTTTCAGTTCCCTATAACGGTCCCGCATGGCTCGCGTTGCGCCCGATCGCAGCGTGGCCCTGTAGGCGGCATCTTTTTTCTCTGCGGCTTCTTGACATTCCTCATCGTACCAGTTGTTCTTTCGGGCTCGCTGAAATCCAACTACTTCTTCGGCGGCGGTACTTAATGATCGGGAAATGTGGTTCCACTGCTCGCGTACGTCGGATTGTTGAAGAGTGCTCTCAGAGAGCAGGTGTGTGAGTCGAGTGGCGAATAAATTGGCCGTCTGTTGTGATTGCAGCTTTTCGACGTTAAGCTTTCCTTGCATTGTTGGGCGCACATTTTTTGCTGCACAGAGGCGGGTGCGTATCTTGGCTACAACAAGATAGTGGTCCGAGTCGATGTTTGGCCCTCGGAGTGTACGTACGTCCAAAACGCTTGAAGCATGCCTTCCGTCTATCACAACATGATCGATTTGGTTTCTCGTTTTTCGATCTGGAGACAGCCATGTAGCTTGGTGGATGTTCTTATGCTGGAACCTAGTACTACATATTACCATATTTCGGGCCCGGCGAAGTCGATCAGCCTCAGTCCGTTATCGGACGTTTCGTCGTGGAGGCTGAATTTTCCGACAGTGGCGCCAAAGATCCCTTCCTTGCCCACCTTGGCATTAAAATCGCCAAGCACGATTTTGACATCGTGTCGGGGGCAGCGCTCATATGTACGTTCCAAGCGCTCATAGAAGAGATCCTTGGACGCCTCATCCTTCTCTTCCGTCGGGGCATGGGCGCAGATGAGCGAGATGTTGAAGAATCTAGCTTTGATGCGGATTGTGGCTAGACGTTCGTCCACCGGGGTGAACGCCAGTACTCGGCGACGGAGTCTCTCTCCTACCACGAATCCAACACCGAATTTGCGCTCCTTTACGTGGCAACTGTAGTAGACGTCGCAAGGCTTCACGCTTCACACACAGGTTGTACCGCTGATGGAAATCCGAGGAATCCGTTACAAGGTGGTTTATATGTCGAAATTTAGTAAATTGTGTTGGTATGTAGTTAGAAATATGCATCAGAAATATAGAAATATCATCAGAAATATAGATGCTCCACCGATATAAAAGTGTGTTAACATGCTCACATAGGTAATTTTTAAGTATTTAATATGTATGTGTACATGAATGGAAAGGTCTGTTGATGTTGATGATGAGAACAAATAAAATTTAATTTGAAATAAAAGAAAGTTTTATAATTACTTATTTATTTTGATAATAAGAATTTTAAGCATAAATGTCCACAATTATATGAATTATAGCTTTGCTGTTGATTATAGTTACGGTTAATGTTTTTATACCCGAGCGCACTTGTGTACAAGGGTATTATAACTTTGTTCACATAACGGTTGTTTGTAACAGGCAAAACGAATTGCGATATTTTAGTAACTACTGAAGATTATTAACACAAAATTAATATTTACAATAATTTTTAGACGAAAAATAAGAATGTTATAAATTTTTGAAAAATGGGCGTAGTCACGCCCACTTATGGTTACATGTGTATATCTTGGCAACCGCTGCACCGACTTCTTCCAAACTTGGCACAGTTATTGGTACAGGATACCAAATGGCCGAAAATTTTTAAAATCGGACAATAACCACGCCCACATCCCATATAACGGTAATTTGGAGAAATACGAAATCTTCGATAAATCAGTAAATATTAAAGCCAATTTATTCAAAATTGATGCTTGCAACAATTCCTTACCAGGAAATACGTCTATGATAAAATTTAAAAAAATGGGCATGGCACCGCCCACGGTAACCGTTCTACCAATTTCTACCAAACTCGGTATGGTTATTGTGCTTGCTACATAAAAGCAAAACGATGAAAATTATTGAAATCGAACTAAAATTATTGCTTTTCATATAACGGTAAATTTTAGAAATGCTTGAAACGTCAATATTTCAAAATTTAAGGACGCTAATTTACTCAAAATTGATACACCCCGGCTTACCATGTAGCGGTAGCTTTCGGAAAGGTGAAAATCATATATTTAATATTTGCGCCGGGTATTTAATGTTCGGCTCCGCCCGAACTTAGACTTTCTTACTTGTTTCCTTAATACTTTATTATTTGCTTAGGAGGCTATAAGTTTCCAAAGCTATTTAAGTCATCAATCTCATTATCGTTTTTCCAGTAAGCTACCCAATGCGTTCCCGGACCCTTTGAACTATCCAAATTTATTATTCCACATTCTCTCTTAAATGGTTTACGTGGTAACTTGTCACACATAAATACCCCTCTATAATTTGGAATAAATTTTGAATACTTCTGTTAGGACGTGATAGTTTTCACGACCCCGAAGTACGTAAGAATCCTAATCGCCTCGAGCGTTTGAATAAAACACCAGTTTGCTTGAATTTAATATACGCGTTTTATTCTGTCTGAAGGCTAAGTAACAACTAACTCTTTGCACTCAATTGCATTTTTATATACTACTTTACTTTCAATTCAGCACTGCCGTTAGTAGTTTTCATCGAGTCCAGTTAAATCGAATGTTGTTTGTACAAATTTACATACATACATATTTGTACAAAATAGGTAGAAGAGAAAAGTAAAAACTACAGTACTTAGCAAAAGTTAGTTTACATATGGTAATAATATTAATTAAGCATTCCAGTACACAACATGCCGGCGCCCTTGATGTGTCTACTGACAGATCAACTTCATTCGGGTTTTGGAATTGGCGCCACCTTTTGTATTGCGCGACGGATGCACCCGTTCTTGGTTTCAATGTCGACAACGCGCACATACCCATCAGCAGCCTTTATGGCCCTCGTTACTCTTCCTATTAACCATGATTTAGGTGGTGCATTGTCTTCTGACACCAAAACTAAGTCGCCTTCAACTACGTTTTCTTTGTTCGCCGTCCACTTCGTCTTTTGCTGCAACTCGTACAGGTATTCGTATGACCAACGCTTCCAAAAGTGTTGTTTTATGGCCGTTAGTCGCACCCAGCGGTTTAAGTTTGAGATATGCTCGCTTTCGATAATAGGTTCCAAGATTCCAACAAGCGGCCCACCTGTCAAAAAATGTCCCGGCGTAATAACAGCTTCGTCGCTTGGGTCGGAAGACATTGCAGTCAAGGGCCGCGAGTTTAACGTGGCCTCGACTTCTGCGACCACAGTACATAGCTCCTCAAATGTTAGAAACGCTTCGCCTAGGATGCGAACCAGATGGTATTTAGCGGATTTCACCGCCGCCTCCCAGAGGCCGCCAAAGTGGGGTGAGCGCGGCGGTATATGGCGAAAATCGATGTTATTTGCTACACAATACCTCGAAATCATGCCTTGTTGTTGTTGTTCGTAAAATGTTTTTCTGAACTCCTGCAGCTCACGACGGGCACCAACAAAATTTGTGCCGTTGTCACAGAAAAGCTGTGCGCATATACCCCTGCGAGCGACAAATCTTTTAAGCGCTGCAATGAATGCCTTTGCCGTCAGATCAGAAACCACCTCCATATGCACGGCCTTCGACGCGAAACATACGAAGACGGCGATATAGCTTTTTGTAGTGCGCATTCCTCTTTGTTTGTACGTCGTCATAATCGGACCACAAAAGTCCACACCAGCAGTTGTAAACGGTCGCGCCATACTAACTCTCTCAGTCGGCAAATTACCCATGATCTGCTTCTGAAGCCTCGGTCGGCAGCGAAAGCACTGCAAGCATCTAGTCGTTACGAGCGCACCACCTTTCGAGCATTTACAATCCAAAATCGTTGTCACATTATCGCCATCAAGGCTTCCTACGTGCATATGCTTTTCGTGCACATAGCGTATGTAACTGCGAACGAAGTTACTCTCTCCAGGTAGCAAAATCGGATGCTTTTCATCGTACGGCAACTTTGCGTTTTTCAAGCGACCACCCACACGCAGTATATCCACTCCATAGCAGCTCTCAATAAAAACGCTCAAGCACTTCACCTTACTCGTTGACGGCACCACACCGTCGCGCTTTATTGCATTGTACTCGTTGTTAAAGTAGTGTTTTTGTAGGCAGAACGCTATGCGAATCAACGCTTCATCCAGCATTGTTGTTGTGAGAGGCGGAAGTTTGTCGTGGCGACCCTTTATTCGCCGAAAAATACAAAGAAAATGCGCCACTCGGTTTTGTGTTCGGACGTAATCACTTCTCCCTTCAAGCCACTCGATAAAGGAATTTTTCTTTACTTCGGCCGCCAGCGTTGTCGTCTGCTTACGGCGTTCTTCTACGTCTTCCTCGGGTATGCTACACAACTTGTTGGCAGGCCATTGGTCGCATGGTTTCAGTAAGAAGGCTGGCCCTGCAAACCAAAAAGATGTTAGTAGCTCATCAACATACGCACCTCTGGATATAACGTCAGCTGGATTTTGCCGACAAGGAACATGTCTCCAAATTGCTGATTTAGTTGCTTCTTGTATCAAGGCTACCCTGTTAGCGACGAAAGTTGTCCAGGTTGATGGATGAGCCCTCAGCCACTCCAGCACAATTTCGGAGTCGCTCCATAGATACAGAGCATCTGGTTGAATTCGAAAATTCTGCTGCGTCTTCACTACTAATGTAGCTAACAGATGAGCTGCCATCAGCTCCAGCCGCGGAAGTGATTTTGTTTTGAGGGGTGCAAACCTCGATTTGGCGCTCCATAATTGCACGGTTACACCATTATCTTCGTCGATCGATCGCACGTAGATGCAGCAGCCGTAAGCCCGCTGTGATGCATCAGCGAACCCGTGCATCTCTACTCGTACATGCTTTTTCGCGCTTAGAATATAGCGAGGCACTTTTACATCTCGAATCGCACTGAGCCTCTCTCGAAACTCGACCCATTGGTTATGCAGGTGCATTGCCAGTGATTCACCCCATGCCAATTTTTTGATCCACAAGTCTTGCATGAAGATTTTCGCCTTTACTATGACCGGATTCAGGAGACCCAGCGGATCGAATAAACTTGACAACTCCGCTAGCACTACCCTTTTGTTTACGTTTTTTGTGGACGGTAGCTCTTGCCAGACATACCTGAAGTGGTCCGCTCCTGGTTCCCAAACAATGCCAAGAGTTTTAATGATTTCGACATCGTTAACTCGTATTGGCTTCTCCTTTTCACCTTCGTCTAGCTGCAGCATAAAACAAGCATTGTTTGAATGCCATTTGCGTAGAGTGAAATGCACTGAATTTGTTTGTGCTGATACCTCACGATAGACTTGCATTAATTCTGCTTCTGTATCAGCTCCGCTGATGAAGTCATCCATGTAAAAATCAGATAGTATTTTCTTCGATCCCAATGGAAAGTGCTTCTTACCATCTTCACCCAACTGCTGCAGGCAACGAGTTGCTAGAAAAGGCGCTGCCGTTGTCCCATAAGTTATCGTCAGCAGTCGATATGCTGCAAGCCTTTCATCGCTGGAGCTTCTCCACAAAATCGCTTGATAGTTGCAGTCTTCGGCAGTAACCCATGCTTGTCTGTACATTTTTGTTACGTCAGCTGTAAGCGCAAATTTGAAGCACCGAAATCGCAGCACTATCGAAAACAAATCATCTTGTACAACTGGCCCTTTCATCATTACGTCATTGAGCGACAACCCGCTACTAGTTTTGCAACTACAATCAAAAACTACTCGAAGTTTTGTACTCGTGGACTCCGGGCGTAACACATGTTGATGAGGCGAAAAATACTTCAGCTGCTCAAGGTCTGCTGCCGCTACCTTTGCCATATGCCCGAGTTTTATATACTCCTCAATAAAGTCAGCATATGCTTTTTTGGTGTCTGAATCTTTATTAAGCCGCCTTTCCAATGCCAGAAACCGCCGCTCAGCTGTGTAAAACGAATCTCCAAGTTTATCAACGTTGTTCTTTAATGGTATTTTTACGACGAATTTTCCGCTGTCATCTCTGCGCACGCTCTCGCGAAATATGCGCTCGCACTCTGCTTCCTCGTCAGTTAAGAACGTAGACTTCGTCGATAGTTGCTCCATCTCCCAGAATCGCTCCACCAAGCTGTTAAGTTTTTCGTCTTGCTGTTCCGTTACGACTACGTCGCTTACCAGGCTTTGAGCCCTCACGCGATCACCTTCGACTATCTGTGTACTACCGGACACTACCCAGCCAAATACCGTTTTTTGCAATCGAGGTACACCGTTCAACAGCTTTATTTGACCTACGCACAGCAACTCCAGAAATATTTCTGCACCTAGCAACATATCCACCCGTGCCGGAGTATTAAAGCGTGGATCCGCAAGCTCAACATTCTTGGGAATATTCCAGGTGGAGACGTTGACATATTGATCAGGTTTTCTTGATGTTATCTTTGGCAATATATAAAATTGCAATGCTACTTCGTAGTTGTTGACGCGTGACTTTATCACTGTATTAAGTTCAAGCAGGCATGTCGCCTTTGGCAGCCTTAACATCTGCGCCAAATAGTCGCACATAAGGTTAATTTGCGACGCTGAATCTAAAATGGCACGCACCGGATGATAACGTCCACCCGTAGCTTTCACCAGTATAACTGCAGTTTCCAAGAAAACTTCTTGCACAACTGCGGTACTGGAACTCGTATATAGTGCTACTTTTTTAGTTGAAGAGCTGCTCTCCTTATTCTCCAACGCGCTGACTTCATTCGAGACGGGTCCTGTGTCGTCTTGCCTAGCTTGGCGGCACGTGCCGCAGAGTAGCGCTCTTGAGAGCTCATTCGCGTGAATCTCGGACAAGTCACTACCTCATGACCACCTTTGTGACAAATGCTGCAAGATGTATGCTCAATAGCCAGTGCCGTTGACGTATTACGCTTACCGAAGAATGTCTTTGGCTTTGAGTCCCGATGGATATCCTTTATAGTCTGCTTCAAATCGGTATGAGAAATCTTTGTTTCCCGTGCTTCTAACGTTTGACATCGCCTTGATAGTATTTCTGAACAATTTTCCCATGAGGACAGCTGTGTATAATCAACAGATTCCTCCCATTTTGTTTGGGACTCAGCATCCAGTTTATCCATCACCAGGTATATTATGAGGGCATTAGTAACGTCTTGGTAGTTGCCCAGCGACAGCATTGCACTCAAACGCGCGTTAGTGGTATCAATTATTTTGCGTAAATGCCGAGCTGACCCTTTGGTGGCCTTTTGCATTTCAAAAAGCGCTGCAATGTGTTCCTGAAACATAAGCGCTTTTTTATCGAAAATCAACTTTAAACGATCCAATGCCTTCGGGTAGTTTGCATCCGTTTCGTAGAACTCCGCTATTGCAGAAAGTGGTCTTGGACCCAAACTATCTTTGAGTATCAAAAACCTCTCGAAGTTATCCAAGGTTTGGTCTTGATCAACCATTTTTGTAAATAAAGCGATAAATTTGGGGAATTCAGCGTATTTCCCATCAAACTTAGGAATTTTAATTTCACGGCGTAGCTTTGACGCGGGTGCAGAAAACGATGCTGTCTGCGAAAAACTTGCCTCCCCTGGAGCAGGACGTTGCTTGGGAATCAGTGACATAATGTTTGACTTAGCACTGACATATAATTCCTCTACGTCACCTACGAAGGTAGCATTGGACGCCCTCTCCGCTTCTGGACAAATCTTATCGATGCTGGCCTGAACGCTTAGTATTTGCTTAAAGTACGCCTCCAAAATACCAAGCCTGCACTCCAATTCCTCTTCGGGCAAGGAAGAACCTTTCTTCGCTATCAGGTTCTTAATTCGTGTTATGTTGCCCTTTGTTGACGCACGTAACGATTTCAGCTCCACTAGTTTTGGACTCTCCTTTTTGCCGGCCGCAACTTCCTCCTTCTCGGTGTCCGATGTCATTTTGGAACAGTTCAATAGCAATTTCACCACGCTCTCTCAGAATTGTTCTCTCACGCAGTTTTCGATGCAGTTGTGCTGGCCAAGAAGAATAATTCTATGTTGATCCGGGGATGTATACGCTGCTGCGTTACGTAGCTGCGGCTGATAAAGACACGTTCTCTGTTTTTTGCTAACCGAAGTTTATGGTTATGTACCAATAAACTCAACTTTAATCGAATGAAATATTGTTCGCGATCGCGGACCTTAGCCTTCTTTTACGAGCGACACGAATAATTTTATACTTCGCGTGGACTTCCAATGAAGTTAATTTTTAAATTATCTTGAATTTACATACAGTGGACCAATGTCCCGGGTTTCGGCACCAAAATGTTAGAACGTGATAGTTTTCACGACCCCGAAGTACGTAAGAATTCTAATCGCCTCGAGCGTTTGAATAAAACACCAGTTTGCTTGAATTTAATATACGCGTTTTATTCTGTCTGAAGGCTAAGTAACAACTAACTCTTTGCACTCAATTGCATTTTTATATACTACTTTACTTTCAATTCAGCACTGCCGTTAGTAGTTTTCATCGAGTCCAGTTAAATCGAATGTTGTTTGTACAAATTTACATACATACATATTTGTACAAAATAGGTAGAAGAGAAAAGTAAAAACTACAGTACTTAGCAAAAGTTAGTTTACATATGGTAATAATATTAATTAAGCATTCCAGTACACAACAACTTCTTTAAGTCTACATCAGTAAGAGGTCTTCTGGGTAGCTTCATTAAGAGTTTTTTTGGTATGATTTTAAATATAATCCGAATCCCTTTTTATATGGCTTTAAAAACATTCCTTTTCTCATTGAAATAGCTTCCATTGTATTATTATAACGTTTCGCCTCCAATAACTGCTCCTTTCCAGTTTTTATAGCATTGATTGTTTTAATAATTCCTGCTGTACCGCCAGATAGACTTCCAAGTGCTCCTAATGCTACGAATAAAGGCGCTAATGGGAGAAATCCTCCAGACTTAGGCAATGATATGACACGTGGTGTTTTTATTTTAGATTTTTTTCCTCTAAAAATATTATTGACAACCTTTCGTGAAATTTTTGTTGCATCTTTTAAGTTATCCCTTTTCTTTAAATTTTGTTTAGCTTTTTTTGAAAGCATGTTGGAAGAGCTGATAACCAGTTTTTCCTCCCGTTTTCTTAGTTTTACTATAAATGTTCCCCATACCGAATTTCGTTTTTGTTTTCATTATATTTGTAACTAACCAGGCATTTGTTTTCTCATTAAGATTGCTATCCTTCGCTTTAACTCTTTCCCAAGCCTTCTCAATTAATTTTTTATCAGCAATTTGTCGGTTCTCTAAATCTTTATTATATAAATATGATATATCATGTTCTCTACAAGCAGCGTCTAGTGGATTAATCCCTCGATCTCCTCTTACTAAACGTTTCTCTAATTTCGTTCCAGGTCCACAAAATTGATAACTAGGCAAATGAAGTTCAATAGGAAGCTTATTAATTATATTATTTATAAAACCTTTTCCGACGACTGACGATTTATGACTAAACCCTTTTTCATAAATAACTCTCATATTTAGGCCTTTTCATATTAATAGTTTAAATATAAGTAATAAAAAGTATAAAAATAATTCGTTTATATATATATATATTAGTAGTCAAAATGCGGTTTGTGAAGCAACGTAATACGTTGAATATTAAAAATATTGACTTGAGATTTAATAAAGTAAATAAAGTTCGACATAGCTCATTATTACCAAACTCAATTCGAGCTCTTATTGTTGGACCATCAAACTGTGGGAAAACAAATGTAATGATTAGCCTCATTGAAAGTCCAAATGGGTTAAAATTCAAAAACATATATTTATATTCGAAATCTTTACATCAATCAAAATATAAATACTTAAAACATCTAATAAACCCTATTAAGGAGATTAACATTTCAACATTTTCAAATAATGATGATGTGCTATTACCTGACAACGCAAAAGCAAATTCTATATTTATATTTGATGATATAGCTTGCGAAAAACAAAATCATGTTCGATCCTATTTTTGTATGGGTCGTCATAAAGAGATTGATAGTTTTTATTTATGTCAGACTTATACTCGTATTCCAAAACACTTAATTCGAGATAATGCAAATTTGATTATCGTATTCAAACAAGATGAAATGAATATTAAACATATCTATAATGATCATGTTGGAGCTGATATGTCCTTTAAGACTTTTTGCATTTTATGTTATAAATGTTGGAAAGAAAAATATGGATTTCTTGTTATAAGTAAAGATGATTCTATCACCAATGGTCGATATAGAAAAGGATTTGACGTCTTTATAACCTTATAAAATATCCTGTTAGTAATAATTTAAATCAGTATATCACTTATGTTAAAACTTATAAAATAATAAACTATACTGTTCTATTAAACAGCTAACTGCTAAACAAGACTGTTCTATTAAACAGCTAACTGCTAAACAAGGCTGTTCTATTAAGCAGCTAACTGTTATATAAGACAGTTCTATTAAACAGCTAACTGTTATATAAGGCTATTCTATTAAACAGATAACTGTTAAAGTAGATACTTTAATCATTACTAATTGTATTTTTTAATTATAATATTATGGAAATTGATAGAAAACTTATTAAAAATCTTATAAAAACTCGAAATATTTAAAAAAAAATTATAAGAGTATTCAGCTTGGTGAAACATTAAATGATGAGCTCTTAGAAAAAACCAACCGTTTAAACCAATAATTAAAGCTTTGAAGGAAATTATAAATGAGAAGAGAATAAAACAGGAAAATTATAGAAAAAATGTTTTCAAAGACAGTGAGAAGAGGTTTGAACCCGTTGATTATGATTTTCCTACAAGCACTCCATTCAAAACTAATAAGAAGGATTATGATACTTATCCTAGTAAGAAAACCAATCAAAGTTCAAATTCATTTCAATCATTTAATGATAATGATGATAACTATGGTAATGGTACTAATGATGATGATAATGATGATAGTAACAATGAAGAAAATAATAATCAAACTATTAGAAGGATATCAAATCAAAGTATTGATTTAAATTTATCAAACATAAACTCTAAAATGTTAGATAAAGCGTACGGACCTCAGAGAGATCAAAATCAAAAGTGGAGGTTAGGAAATGAATCAATTAGTTTTAATAAAGACAATATTTCGATGGGTAACTCAAAATGGCCTTAACACAAGGATTATACGAATTAATAGTCTTAAATTGGCCAAAAAATTATAATGACAATGATTTGAAAATGTATAAAGAAATATTGTTAAAGACTCATGTGCATAGAAGAAATTATCAAGCAAACGGACAAATTCGAGGAAATCGGTCGAATAAATATAAAAATATTATTAAGAAACTTATTAAAGAATATAAGGGAAAAGGATTAATGAAGCTCAATATGAAAAAGATAAATTATGTATACTGGGATGAACCTAACGAATTAGTAGATAGATTACGTCTTTTAATTTCATCAACAGCAGCCGGACACTCAAATCATAGTAATGAAATTGTTTCTATTATTGAAGAATTGAGAGAAGCAAAGATTATTATATAAATACATAACATAATATTAACTTATTAATATTAATAAAATGTTCGTTGATAAGTTTGGTCACTACTTTATTCAAGGTGTGAGAAGACATCCTAAAGAGAACACTGGATTCCAATTGGATAGTGATCAACATTTAAATTTCAACTTGAGAAGAATTAAAAACATTGGCAATCCTTTTCTTAAAAATGATGCAGTCAATAAAGGATATTTAGAAGTTATGACTCAGAACAATTCTAAAGAAATAATTAAACAATTAACACAAAAAAATATTGATATAGAAGTAAGACTTAATAAAGCAATAGAAGAACAAAGGAAAGTACAAATTAATTTAGAAGAAGTAATACGACAAACGAAGTATCTGCTTTCCTATAAAATTGAGTTCTCTATAGAAACTGTTGATAATTTAATTAAGACCTCCGAAAACCGAATTAATAAAATAATACAAAGTAATAAAGAGTCCTTTGAAACTAAACTAGACCGCATTGATTCAGTTCTTAATCAATTAAAACAGAAAAATGGAGCGTCTTCAACTAGTAGAAGAACTTCATAAACAAGCTCGCACACACTTTAAACGCCGTCGAGTAATAATAAAAGGAATAGACGATATTTGGCAATCGGATCTTGTTGAGATGAATGCTTATTCAAAATTTAATAAAGGATATAAGCTTATTTTAACTATAGATACATTCTCAAAGTATGTGTGGGCAGTTGCAATTAAATCGAAAGGAAGTTAAGACATTACTAAAGCGATGCATGGAATTTTTTTAGAAAAAAGAATACCAAAAAACTTGCAAACTCATAACGGTAAGGAGTTTTATAATAAAAAATTTCTAAATTTGATGAGAAAGTATAATATTAATCATTATTCAACATATAGTATAATGAAAGCTTCCATTGTAGAACGTTTCAATAGAACTTTAAAAGAAATGATGTGGAAAAGATTTAGTTTAAAAGGAAATTATCAATGGATTAATAGATATAAAGATTTAATAAACCAATATAATCTCAAAAGACATAGAACAATTGGAATGGCACCTATTTCTATTACTAAAAATAATGAACGTTTTATACTTAAACAAGCATATAATCATATCAAAGTTTTCAAACCTGGTAAACTGAAAGTCGGAGATTATGTACGCATTAGTAAATATAAGCATGTGTTTGATAAAGGATATACACCAAACTGGACCACTGAAATTTTTAAAATTCGTATTATACGAAATACTAATCCTATAACCTATTTATTATAAGATTATCAAAGAAAACCTATAATTGGAGGATTTTATGAAAATGAATTATTAAAAACACATTATCCAAACACATATTTAATTGAAAAGATTATAAAACAAAAGGAAATAGCGTTTTTGTTAAATGGTTAGGGTTTTCTAATGACCATAATT